AGCTTATTAAAATTATGTTTGTATAGTGTTTTTTTTGAATATTATTTTGCATTTCTGGTTCTGTTGTTGGTGATTTGTCTTTATCTTCAGGTTTTATTTTTTCTAAATATTTATATAGGGTGTCTGAGCATGTGAGTATATAGTGGTTAGTATGTCTGATGCAGTCATCACAACATTTTTGAAAGGAAGAGGGTTCTGTTAATATAATCGTTGTTGGAATTAATTCTTTAAGATGTGAGATGAACTGTTGTCTAAACTGGTATTTTAAGAAGTTGCAAACTTTTGTTTTGTCAAGAGTATCACTAAATTGTTAGCTATATTTAGTGTAGAATGATTTGAACCATTCATTGAAATGCTCAAGAGAGTTTTTTAAAAAATGGTATATTGAATTTTTTTAAGAAGAGGGTTTTAAAAATGTTAAAATAGAGTATAATATTGAATTTGCTATCCATATATATTTTAAGATATTTGTCTTCTTTGTTATAGTCAATAACTTGTGACATGATTTTGAATCGCTTAGGACTGAAAACTTGGCATAGTTGATAGTTTGGTAATTGTTAGATAGATATAAGTGTAATCGAGCAAGATTAATACAGAATTGTAGTCTGTTTTGTGGTTTGTAAGGTGGAACTGTTGCAGATGATACAAAAATCTCAGGATAGTTAAGTTTGGTAAAGAGGACTGTTGTAAAAAACCAAAATAAGTTTTTTAAGTATTACTTCTAGAACTGAGAAGTGGATAGTAAAAGCTTTGTAACATCTGAATTGTGTTTATGTATGAAGTCTGTTAAGAATTGAGATCTTTCTCCTGCTATTTTGCAAATAATTTGGTAGAAGCTAGCTTTAAGAGCTTTATGGTTTGCTGTTGCTACTTTAATCTCTTTGTCTGGGTAAAAGTCAAAGAGGTGTAATTTAAGAAAATAGAAAGTTTTTTGAGCAAGTTCTGTTTGAAGGTTTGTGTTTTTTTCCATTTCTTTTGTAACAGGAAATTTAGCCAGCCAATCAAGTGTTGGTTTAACTTGGTCTGCAGTAGGATTTTGGTCATTAGCTTGTTGAGATTGTTGTAAAAGTTGTTGATATGTGTCATCAGTTAATGATTGTTGTTGTTCAAAAGTATTATTTAGATTTAAAGAGAGTAATTGTTAAAGTGTTAAGCTTGATTCTTGTTGGTTTGAAGAAGTATTTTGGTCTTGTTGAAAGTTACTAGTAATAATATGAGTATTATTGGAGTTACTAACTAGCTGTTGCTGTTGGGTTTGTTGATGCTATGTTGTCTGCTGAGATTGTTATTGTTGGGTATTAGGAGTTTGAGTAAGAGTAGATTTAGATTGCTCTGAATGCTCAGAATAAGGTTAGGAATGTGGTAATGGTGGTAATTGTCAGGATAGTTTGTATTGAAAAGTATTAGGTGCATCAGTTAACTTAGATTTTGTTAATTCTAACTTTTTCATATAGGTAAGTTTGTGGCAATAGTTGGTTTATTAGAATTACTTCTAATAGAAGTATTTTTGTCTATATCTATTTTGTCTCAGCTGACAACATAGCATCAACAAACCCAACA